AGTGAGGTGGGTGTTAGTCTCTTCTCCCATGCAGTTAGCGATAGGACGAGAGGAAATGGGCTCAAGCTGCGCCAGGGGAGGTTTAGGTTGGATATTAGGAAAAATTTCTTTGCGGAAAGGGTGGTCAAGCATTGGAACAGGCTGCCCAGAGAGGTGGTGGAGTCACCATCCCTGGAAGTGTTCAAAAAACAGGTAGATGTGGCACTTGGGGACATGGTTTAGTCTAGTCTGCCCTTGATTGGCTTAGGTGGGCTTGGTAGTGTGGGTTAATGGTTGGACTGGATGATCTTAAAGGTCTTTTCCAACCTAAACGATTCTATGATTCTATGATCGCCAGGAAGAAGGTCAGCAGGCAGACTTTACCTGTGCAGCCTGGCAGCTCCTTCTTTTTCAGATGATATGTGTGTGATACAACCATATGAACCAGAAACCAACCAGTTCTGAATTTTTACCAACAGTCACACCCCATATACTCCCATGGAGCAATAACAGAGAGAAGGGACCTCGACCCAAGTCTGATTCCAACACTGCCAGTGTTTTGTAAGGCTAAGCTGAGCTCCACATCCAAAGTGAAAACCCGCATACAAGCACAGCTTTGGAAAACCTGGTCAATAGTCAGATGTCAGGAGCACACAATTGCCTAAAAGACACACTGGCTGTGGGACTGCTCAGGTTCTGTCGTGCATGCAAACATCATGTGCTAGGCCATGCTGATTTGTCTGATATCACTAAATAACAACCATTTTCTCCCATAAGAGCTCATCTGCACAGTATGCATTCTTCTGTTCAGTAGAATCATTGCACACTTCATGGATTTGCATTTGATGGCAGTTACAAGTTGTTTGCATTTAATTTTTGGATAAGCAGTATTAAAGTTCCAAGATCAGTTACGTTAATATGAAACTAACTATTTTTGCTTTTTGTTTTCTCTTTTTGTAAACTCTGATGCAGCATTATGTTGACTTGTGTTCTGTCGCCACTTTGGCTCAGTTCCCATATCTTTCCATTTAAAGTTGTCTGTATTTCCTTTGCTTACCCAACCCATTTTCCTTTCCGAATAAGACAAATACAAGGCAAACTCCCTAAAATCTGTATGTTCTTTTTTTTGTATTGACTTTTGGGGAGCCTTGTTACACCCACACTTGATTTGAGCAGAACCTCTTGTGTTAAGTCATTATACGTGCCATTTCTGTGTCCAGTTTGTTGGAAACATTTGCAGGACAGCTTACTTTGTGCTACATGATGTTCACTGTGCTGTTCGTAATATGAAGTAAGGTTCATATTACACCCTGTTTCCACTTTCCAGTTATTTAACGATAAATGTAATATGCAAACAACTCTGCAGATTACTGAGGCTGAATTTAATGGCCCTCTCCCAGAATCCTTTACTGTAAACACCTTTTACCTTTAGTTGTATCTATAAACTGGCATTTTATAGCTTATGAGGCCAGAGATCATCTGTGCTCTACACATACCATTGGGGAAAATGGATGACACAAGGAATGGTGAGCTCAATTTCCCCTCTGAATCTGGGCAATATACCCCAGCTCCGTTAGAAAGGTAAATGCCCCTGAGTTACTGGTGTATCTTTTCTTAGCTTAGTGATGCTTCCTCCTTTATTTCAAGTCATCTTGGTTCCTGTTACTTTTCTGTAGTCATTACTTTTTTTAACCACCAATAAAGTATGTTAACAAACTGTTTGTTGTCTATTGAGTCAGCTCAGGTGATTTTATAGCTATTTGTCAGGCATTATCATAATCAGCAAGATGAAGGAAATTTCCTTGACTTCTATTGCATGTAGGAACAGGATTTTTTTTATCCCAGCATTTAACTTCTGTGGGGGTAACTTAAAATTTCCAATTCCAGTTGCCCAAGTTGGAAGGGATGATCTTAGTGTTATATTACACTGACGGTTACTGCCAGGTACCTTTGTCTAACAGAGAAGTGAAGGAGGTCTCTTGATCCTTGAGCAAGTACCAGGCTAACTCTGGGATTCTCCTTCCTTTGTGTCATTGCACAGACATCTTCTCGATTACTGGTGCGGCCGACCAGCTCTGAGACACCCAGTGCTGCAGAACTAGTCAGTGCAATTGAAGAGCTCGTCAAAAGTAAAATGGTGAGGCTGACTGGCAGATGCATGTGTTTAAAGACGTTGTGTCTTCAAGTCCTGACTTGCTATTCAAAGAAAAGCTACATGCCCATCCTGAGCGTACACCTTTGACTTGTAAAACTCGATGCCTGTTTCAAAAGTCACTTTCCGGGTTGGTGTGCTGGTCGCTTTGTATGCACTCTTTTGTGAAAGCACTTACTGAATAGGAAAATGGCTGTGTAGAAAAGCAAAAAACCAATAAATATGAGGGAGAGGAGAAGACAGCAAATGTATTTCCTGTTAGTAAAAAGAAAATGTCCTATCAGTGAAATGAATGCTAAGACCCAGGGTTACCCTGATTTGCCTGATAGGCCATTATGAGAAGAATCCCTGAGACTGAATTTACAGCAAATCTTGCAGAGTTCAACAGTAAAGCAGATAGCATAAGTGTCTCTGTGTGAGGGTTATCTAGCTGTTTTTTAGGCAACATGATAAGAAGTAAGTTAAAGAGTGAAAGGATCATTTTGTATGTTAGTGGCTTCTTCCTTGCTTTGCAGTGTTGCTAACAAATTAAGTAGGAGGACATTGTGTCAGCTTTCTTAAGTTTCTGTGTTTTAAAATGTCTATGTTTCTGAAGATGCTCATTGACGAAGCATAGGGAATATGGATAATACCAGGAAGGCCCTCCTTCATATTCAAAACCCGACTTGACCCGGTCCTGGAAAACCTGCTCTAGATGACCCTGTTTGAGAAGGGGGATTGTTGGACTATATGGTCTCAGGAGGTCCCTCAGTGATTCTGTGATTCACTCAAAACCTTTAAGTCTGGCTTTTGCAACACAGACCCTGTTGGGCGTAGTTCAAGTGCTGCTGTGAAATCTCTACAGAGAATTGGAGAATGGCAGCCCCATGTTTCCAGAGGTTGAAATTTCCCAGGCTTGTTCTAAATTTAAGCAGCTTTGAATTTCAGAATGAGAAATTTGAATTTCCATTTTATATTTCCTCATTCAGAAAGACTTAACACTTCACTTACATTACTGCATGAAATAATACGCTAAGAGAACGCAGAAATTAACTTCGCTTTTTACTTCTGTTGCACCAGGCAGGTGAATAAGAAGTAATCTGTGGGAAAATTCAAAGCAGCTTTTTGTAAATGGAAAGTTTGACAGTGCATGTGTCTTTCAGGCAGCCTAGCAGTGGGTATAACTTAATGATCCATGCATATACTCCCTGGTGGAGATGTTCTCATTTCACAGTTTTAGCCAAGGGTCAGCTTCTCCTGGGTTTTGGGCCAGTCATATCATTAT